ACACACAAACCAGTGCACAGGGCTGTACCCTAGACCAAATAAATCAGATCCTCTGGGGAATAGGGCCTGGTTATCAGTTTGTTTAAAGCATACATGTGATTTTATGTGCCACAGGGTTGAGTTGAGGATCATTGATTAAGCTAAATTTGCTTGATTCTCCCCACCCCCAGGGAGAAGGTGGAGACTCAGAAGTATGATTTCATACTTGAGAAATAGATTTGTGTTACTAACCACATTTCCTCTAGCTACCAGTTTTGTGCGGAATTATTATATCCCAGGAGATTGGCTGTAACTATATACTAAGAGTGATTAATCAGTATATTGTACTAAAATTAAGAAGTATTAATTTCTTTCAAATGCCTCAAACATCTTTTAGGTAGATAAACTGTTAATTTGCCTAAGTAATGGCATAATACGTGACTTTTATTAAGATGTGTTGGATAACTTGTCATAATATTTCCAGGGAGGAAACTGCTGAAACTGAATAGCTGTCTGGTCTCTTGCTGCTAACAATGTATTTTCAATAACTGTTCTATTTAGGACATTAAAAACCTAAAGTATATATAATAATTGCCCTATGTCAATCTGGGGATAAAAAAATTTAAAAGAAATCATTTTATATTTTTTCACTTTGTTTCAGTTCATCTTCACAACTACTCTAGGAGGAAAGTAGGGTAGGCCTCATTAGGCCTATGTTACAGATGAAAATATTAAGGAGAAGCTCAGTCACTTAGGTCATGTGTTTAGTAAGTGATCAAGCTGGAATCAAAACCCATGTTTCCTCACATCTAACCCAGTACCCTTTTCACTACACCATAATACATCTTACAGTCAGTATTGAGCAAGGCTCTAAAGTAATGCACGGGGTAAGTTAGGTAATTTTTTAGGGGTAAGGCAGAAAGCATCCAAAATAGAATATTAGAAATAAAATAAGGCAATATACAGTTTGGCTATCTGTGTCAAGAACCTGGTATCTAGGAATCTAAAATATAATCAGATGTAAGAAAATAACTTTTAAAAATAAGTGTGCAAATCCAGTGTTGTTTAGAAGAGTGAAAAAATTGGGGATAACATGTAGCAATAGGAGGGATAAATGAATTTTGGTACATTCTTTTGATGTACATTATTTATTTAGATCTTTGAAAATAATGACAGTGAAAATGCTTATGAACTTAAGGAAAAAGATATCAACTATAATATGAAGTATGAAGAAAAAATATGATTGTGGGTATGTGTACATGAAAAAAGAGATTGGATTATAATACACCAAAATGTTAACAGTATCTAAATCTGGTCGCTGGATTAGAAGTAATCATTATATTCCTTTTTTTTAAATCCTTTTTCATTTTTTTGTTCAGTGATTGTGTATTTTCCAGTCAGGAAAACATATTTCATAATCAAAACAAAGGCCTTTGTCAGTATCACCAGTGTTTATTGGTGATTGCATCATGGCCTAGATAGCTTATAAATATTAAGTAATGAA